GACAGAGAGAGAGGGAAAGAAAGAGAGAGGAAGACACAGAATCCCAAGCAGGCCCAGGCTCTGAGCTGTCAGCACAGAGCCTGACACAGGGCTTGAACCCACAAACCGTGAGATCATGACCTGAGCCAAAGTCAGATGCTCAACCAACTGAGCCACCCAGGTGACCACCACTTTCTGTTCTTACACAAATAAATGTTACTTGTTTACCAACTGTTATATAAAGACCACCTTTAATACCTTCCCTTGGGGGCACCTGGGTGGCTCAGTGGGTTAAGCCCAGGTCATGACCTCACATCTGTGAGTTTAAGCCCCGCACATCAGGCTCTGAACGGACAGCTCCGAGCCTGCTTTGGATTTTCTGTCTCTCTCTCTCTGCCCCACCCCTATACATGTACATACATGTACATACTCTCTCAAAAATAAGTAAACATTTAAAAAGAAAAAAAAAGATCTTCCCTTGCACTGATACGTAATTTTATGGATGCTTTGGACCAAATTTCTAGTGGGTGACCAAGGAAGACATCTAAGAGCTGTCTGGATATCTCCAAAGGCCTTCCAACTGGCCAAAACATCCAGTCTATTGCCAATTAGCCTTTTTCCTTTTCAGCTAAAGTAGTTGCTTTTGGAGGCCGCTAAGTCCCCTGAGAGTCCCCAGGAGAGGGCAAGGGGCCCAAAATTCAAGTGACCATAAAGACTGAGGTGGAAAAAAGTCTGACAGGGGTAGAGAGTTGCAAGAATTTGGAAGGGGGGGGGGAGGAGTCAACAGGGGTGCCTGGGTGGCTCAGTCAGTTAGGCATCCAACTTCAGCTCAGGTAATGATCTCATGGTTCGTGGGTTCGAGCCCCGCATCGGGCTCTGTGCTGACAGCTAGCTCAGAGCCTGGAGCCTGTTTCATATCTCCCTCTCTCTATGACCCTCCCCTGCTCATGCTGTCTCTCTCTCAGAAATAAATAAAACATTAAAAAATTTTAAAAAAATAAAAAAGAAAGAAACTGGAGGGAAGACTCAAGGTGGTAAAAGGAAGAAGAGCAGCAATGGGAAGGGAGAGCTCTTCAAAAAGCTAGTCTGAGGAGATCTCAATTTTCCCAAGGAGACCAACAAAGTTCTGTATCATTGTCGGCAAAAGTATGCCAACAGGAATGGAAGTAGACAGAGTTGGCAGAAAACAGCACAGGTTCAAGAAGAGTATTTGAGTCAACTGAGAAGTTCCCACAGGAAAAGCAGGATCCAACACAGAAAACTAAGAGGTGTTAGAGAGAGCCAGGCAGACAGACTTTCAGTGCAAGGAGTTAAAGAAAAGGGGCAGCAGCAGCAGCAGCAGCAGCAGCGAGGGGAGCAAGGGAGAGGGGGGGGAGGAGGGGGAGGGAAGAAGACGACGACGACAAAGACAAAGACGAAGACGAAGAGATTTCCAGTCCAGAGAGTCAGAAAATAATCTTCATTCAGGGAAAAAAGAGCCAGGAAGAAGAGATTTACAGACTGATAGGTAGCTTTCAAACAAAGAAGCCTAAGACCCTGACCCAGCTGCTTCCACACAGCTGCTTGCCTGGCACTCTAACTGAGCCTCTTACAGACAAACATGGGACTCTAACCCAGCCTCCAGCCTGTGTTTATCTGGGACTCTATCCCATTTTCTAGGGGATACTCTGACTGTTAAGAATCAAAATCTCTCCTTACCAGCTTCCACGGACATTTGTCCGGAGCAATGATTCAGGAGTCGGACTCACCAATGGATCCCCGATCAATCAGTCAGGAGTGAAGATAAAGCCTTCAAAGGTACACACTTAGGGTCCTGGGTGAGAGCTCCGGGGGTCCAATGATGAATCTGATCCTATCCAAGTTGTGGCACCATAACTGTTAAAAGGAAAAAAGTATTCAATGATACTTGTTGAAGCATGGTAAGGAAGACTTTGGGGGATGGTGAGGCTATGAAATTTTGTAGTAGGGGAAGAAGATTGGGCTCAACCCTGAACACCACATGGGCAAGAGAGATTTTATAGCTAAAGAGAAGGGTGGAGTCAATTAATGGAAAATTAAGAGGAAGCATGGGGGGGGGGAGGGGGCTCTGACAGCATTCTTGCTGAAGACAGGCCAGGGCGATCAAACATCACCTTTCCAATGGTGGAGAAGGAGGAACCCAATCAGACACTGAGGGTAGTGCATCTTGCTAAACTGACTTAGCAAGGTTCTTGTTAAAACTGCATTTTACCAGGACGTCTACATATGGCCTAGGAAGGTTCAGAAGCCTGACTAGAGCCTACTCAAGCAAAGAGTTTTGTCACCTGTTTCTTTTACTCCACACAGAATACTTCTGACACTGGACATGTGAGGTTTTATCTCCCACATCAACCAATTTGCGACACCAGCTGCCATTCAATTCAATTCTGACACTAACTGGAGTTACAGCAGACCTCATGACCTAAGAACTCCGTCTCCTGAGACTGCCCCCCACTTCAGACACCCATCACAAAAAGTGGGTCTCCATGTTACCTACAACTCCATGGTTACAAATTGGAGGTTCCCAAGACCCCCTCACTGGATGCAATCACTTGCTAGAACAGCTCACAGAACTCAGGGAATCACTTACTTACGTTTACTGGTCTAGTACGTAATAAAGGATACGGTAAAGAACACAGATGAACAGCCAGACGAAGGAGATACATAAGGTGAGATGTGGAAGGGCCTGGAGCAGGAGCTTCTGTCCCTGTAAAGTTGGGGTGTGCCACTCTCTCAGCATGTAGATGTGTTCACCATCCTAGAAGCTCTTCAAAGTCCACACTTTCGGGATTTTAAGGCACGATCATTTATTAACTCACTCTAGCCCGTCTCCCCTTCCAGGAGAAAAGGGATAGGGCTGAAAGTTCCAAGCGTCTAATCATGGCTTGGTCTTTCTGGTGTTTGGACCCATCTACCCAGGAACCCACCAAGAGGCACCTCACTTGGTCAAAAGACACTCCTAATACCCAGGAAATACCAAGGGATTTAGGAGCTCTGTGTCAGAAATTAGTCAAAGACCTAAGTGTTAGAACAGAAGATGCTCTAGAGCTCTTGTCATTTAGGAAATTATTTCAGAAGCTCTGTCCTAGAAATCAAGGACAGATACATGTATATTTCAAAAACCAAGAATGGATTTCATCTATATAATCTTTCTGATGATGGCCACAGGTTTCAGCATTTATGTCCAAATCACTTATATATTTACAGCATTATGTCTACTTTAAATATTGAAAAGTGCATTAAAAAAAAAAAACCCATGTGTACCTGGTGGTTTTACTGCTGAAAGCAATTACTGAACAATGCTACATTTCTCAGTTTACAACAGCACAATGCCATCTTTTAATATTCTGAAGAGTTCTTCTGCTAATGTAAGACTTCCATCCAACTACACTTCTCCAACAGAACTGCTCTCCAAGGCATTTTACTTCAACTGAAAATGTCAATTTCATTATAGGACATTTAGAATTTGGGGATGTCATTTGGCTTTAGGAAATTTGTCTAGATTACACCGAAATCAAACCCAGACACAAAATAATTGTATCTTACATAAAACTATTCCTAATCACTGTCTACCTACCAATGGAGGATCTTAGGAGTGAGCCGCATTTTTTTCAATTACAGCGAAATGTGTTGATTTTAAACCTGCACCAGACTGATCCCATCCTAATCAGGTAGCTGTTCCAAGAATTTCTTAGAAAGAGGCACTTGGATTACAAAGACACGGTGCTAGGTTCAATTTAGACTATGCTGCTCACTGATACCGATTTTTAAATTTAATCTGGGTCAACAGAACCAGAATTAGCTACAGATGCCACTATCATAAGAACAGGAAACATCTTACTTTGTGGCAGATCTATGCTGCTGCGACCTTTGGTTATTTAAGTTACCTTAGTTTTCTCAAAGGATTCTTGAAGTGGCTTTCCTTCCCATCTATCCTAACCTATCTGTAAATGTCTAATTACGTTAAACTGCAGCAGAGGGATCTTCTATTTGTATTCTACTCCCAACGAATATCCAAACAGCCCCTCGCAGATTAACTGCACTTCAAACTATCCTTTTGGTGACCCTCTTTTTAGAGAAGACTCTATTAGAAGTCTATCAATTAATACAGTCGGTGCTCAGTTAGCAGCAGAGAAATAACTGTATGTTAGTGGTTAAGAAACCCCATAATTGCAGCGTTTAAGACCTACTGTTGCTACTAATGCCACCAGGCTGACTCAGACTAACGAGCTCTCCAGGTGCCCACTGTCTAACACAGGCCTGTCAAGATGAGCCCTCAGCAGGGAGCCTCCAGAAGAATTCGTCCAATCACTGTACTTGCTTCGTACACATAAACACAGAGAACTGATTTTTAGGTTCTTTGCCACAAAGAAATGCACTGAAAACGATTAAAGCAACAACACATGATTTGGGAAAGAATACTCCTTCCCTTCTTTACAGTGAGTCCTGAATTTGATTTAAATAATGCTGCTTATAAAGGCATTTGCTCCAAGTATCGGATCTCGAATCCATGACGTTTTAATACTGTTAAGTATCAAAACCACGGCACCAAATGTGCCAAATGTGAACCAGAGACAAAAGGACCGTTCTTACGTCCTTAGCGATCGTAGTTAATCAAACCCCGCACCTGCGGAGCATTCGAGGTGAGTTACACACTGGATGATGCAGTCCAAAGTGGGCGAGGATCCCCAACAACCCAGAATCAAGGCCCAGGTCCAGTGAGCCCTTAACAACACCCCGTTCCCAACCCTCCCCAGTCCAGGAATCACAACCTCCCTGACCCCAAGAATCTGAGCCCTGGTATTCGTACTGATTGCCAGAACCTTAACTCCAAGTTTTTTAGGCTCCCATTCCACCTCAACAAAAGTTCACGACACTGTAATGGCATTTCTCTTCAGAACTGAAGCTCCCGACCGCAACCTCCGTCCAAGTGTGTTCCCCTCCGGTCCCCCTGGAGACGGAGCTCCCTTTCCTTTGGATCCCCGCCGGGCAACTCTACTCACAGGACGGCAGCGTCGGGGGGCAGCGGGCTCGACAGCGCCCTCCAGCTCGGCGCTGGTAGCTTTTTGCGACTGCAGTCCAGCAGAGGGATGCGGCAGGAGCAGGGTGCGGGGCAGAGACCTGCCCGAGCAGCCGGCAGCAAGAAGACAGCCAGGGCGAGGAAGACGAGCCGGGAATGAGGTCCGGACCGACAATCCAGCGGCGGCTCCTCCCGGACGCCTTGGGGCGCCGGCGCCATTTTCCCCCCGACCTGGACCCAGCCGAGAAGAGCCGCCAGCTAGAAAAGGCAGCTCGGCAGAGACGTTCGGTGGCTACGATCCCACCCCAGGGCCCGACTGTCGCCTGTACCCTCTAAAGGGAAAAGAGGGGCGGATACAGCGCAGCAGTGGGGGCGGCGACCGCCGAGGACAGACGACTGAAGACCTACAGACAACGCTCCTCCGCCCCGCCCCGCGACGCAACGTCTTCACGCACAAGAGCCAACCAATCGGTGCCGCAGAAAGAGGTCGCGCTGGGGGCGGGACTCCGTGAGGAGGCGGAGCCAGTGACTGAGTTTCTTAAGGACGACTTTAAGGTGTCCGGCATTTCGTAACGCCCCTTTGGGATTCCGCCGCTGGTCGTCCACTGGAGGGCGCAGTGGCTCCTTAAGAGGAATAGCTGCTAAAGCTTTGCGAGTTCGAAGTCTTGACTTGAGGGATGTCTACTAGAGTAATAGAAAGGATCTTTTTTCTGGACTCCAAGCGGAATGATAGAAGGGCTACCCTCCAAGTTCCAAACACTGAAAGGGCCCTGGAACTTCCACCTGGCATTGGCCTCCAGAGCCCATCTGGGACTGCCTCGGCCCCCTCCTGCTGGTCTGCAGCTCCTGCAGCCTGCAAGTGGGCGGCAACTCCGTGTTATCACTATTGGTTGCTGAACCCTTAAGCTCCTGAAAGCAAAGGCCCTGTTTATTCATCTGTGTACGTCCAGCTTCTCTTTAGCCTGGAGTTTAAGAAATGTTGATGGAACTGCACCTACAAAGCATGTCTCTAAGGAAAATACTCTGTTCTGTTTCAGCGAGGCTGTCCTATATCCTCACACTCAGAAAAGCAAGTGTGACTTATAAAGATGTTAAGTAAGAAAGTGAAGGCTGGGTGTGATAAAATTTTTTTTTATACTGGAGCAGAGGCTATGAAAACCTGCTAGGAAGAGCAAAGTCTGGCCACCTGATATGCTCACTCAGCAATCTATTATATCCAAGTTTTGGAATAAGACTGAGAATAAGAGTGATGTTGGCTTACACGTGCTTTTCCACGTTTCAAAGAGCTTTTGCATCTGTTAGCATCTTTTACTTTGTTTAGTCTCTTAATGACTGTAAAATTGACAAGACAGTTATTGCTGATGAGTAAACAAGCCCAGAGAGGTTAAAGAGTTAGAAACAAAATTCAACAGCGTACATTTGAAGGGCGATTTGGCTTTATACAACATTCATGAAGAGGGCCGCATCCCATCTAGTAAGTAAAAGGAAGCTCCGCGGAGCTGTACACAATGGAAGGCTTTTGTAGGCAGAAGTGAGCAGAAAAAGGAAGTTTCTAGCAAAAGGTCACCCTCCTTTGGGGGGAAAGTGGGGTCTAACAGGCACATTACTTCACTGGTGCTAACCAGGTAATTCCAGACCGACTGACTAAAAGTCACAGTCCTGGGAGAGGTTGAAACTGAAATTAGGCTAGGTATTTAATCTTGGTTTGCTGCTTTGGGGCTTAGCACAAGCCACTCCATTATTTCTATTGGATCTGTTATTTCTTTTTTTTTTAATGTTTTTTATTTACTTCTGAGAGAGAGAGAGAGAGAGCGTGAGCAGGGGAGGGTCAGAAAGAGACAGAGGTACAGAATCCGAAGCAGGCTCCAGGCTCTGAGCTAGCCATCAGCACAGAGCCCAATGCAGGGCTCGAACCCACGAACTGTGAGATCATGACCTGATCTGAAGTCAGACGCTTAACTGACTGAGCCACCCAGGCGCCCCTGGATCTGTTATTTCTATTTCAACGCCAATTACCTGGAGACAGAGGCAGAATGGCATTACTATAGGTTTTCTAACTCTTACGAATTAAAAGTCTGAGCAGGTTAAAAAAAAAATCATAATGCCTAGGTCATAGGGTTGTCCTAGAAAGTAACTGAAATCAATCTTTCCATGGCAGGTTTGGAGTCACAATTATGCTTTTAAAACCATTTTCCATTTTTAAGATTGAAACATTTCTTGTAATCAAGACATATCCAATGTTCCAATCTAAAGTAAACTTTTAAAGCCAAGATGCAGAGTGAAACTTACTCTTAATCTCCCTTTCCTGGCTGTTGAGCATCCTTAACAACCTCCGCTAAGAAATTGGGCATAGGCAGGAGTATCTTAGTACCTCTCTGGATTATAGTTTCAGAGCTTCTCTGTGGCCATGATAGAAATTCATGTGTCCTCTCCAATAAATTGTATAGGTTACACTATCCAAGAGTCACTCCCAGCCCTTAATTCCTCCTGCACATTATTTTTTACCATTCTTACCTAGCACTTATATGCATCTTATATATCTCTGTATTCCCCATACAGGCTAGCACGGTACCTGGCATATAATAGACAATAAATGTATGATATGTGAAGAGATGATGACATTATTTTACTCTCTACTTGATAAAATGACCTAAAAGTTTTTCTTTTTAAACTTTTACTATGGGGATGCCTGGGTGGCTCAGTTGGGTAAGCATCCAACTCTTGACTTCAGTTCAGGTCATGATCTCATGGTTGGTGAGTTTGAGCCCCGCATTGGGCTCTGGGCTGACAGTGTGGAGCCTGCTTGAGATTCTCTCTCTCTCTCCCTCTCCCTCTCTCTCTGCCCCTTCCCCACTCTCTCTCTTTCAAAATAAATAAAGTAAAAAAAAAAACTTTTAGTATGATATTTTTATTTTACAGCAATAAAAAGAATCATGGAATAAGCCCCATATGTCCAACTAGATTTAGTAAATACATGTTTTTAATAAAGTTTAGTGATCTATTTCTCATTAGCAATGGAATAAAGAGTTTTTACATTCATTGTTCTAAAATTATCTAATCAATCCTTGGGTGCCAAATACCTGGCAGAGTTTTTAGAATTCAGTGTAGCCCATAGCTGAGAATAGCCCAACTCCAGACTCCTAAAGAAAACTGCTCCCTTTGGATCCCTTGTTGCAGACATTTTTAAAAACACCAGACCTTTGTATAAACACCATCCCCTTAAAATTTAGCTGCCCCTTCTCCCCTTACCTCAGGACTTCACTCTTTGCTAAATCATAGCTAACTAATCTGGTCAATTCTCTTCTCCTAAATGAGATATCCCAAAGTCACTCTCACTTTCCCCTCTTTCTTTCCTCCCACATCCAATCAGTCCCTGGGCTCTATTGATTTCTCCTAAGCAGTGTCTGAGATCTTTCCCCACTTCTCCATCCACACTACTATTGTCTCTGTTCAGACCTTCCTCTCTCATGGGTCTTAATGCAATAACCTCTGAGCCCATCTCCTCCCTGTCAGAACTATTTTTCCAAATACTGATACAGGTTTGTTGTTAGCTTCTCCCTCCAGAGAAACATTTGAGTCTGGCTGGCTCAGTCATTAAAGCATACGACTCTTGATCTTGGGGTTGTGAGTTCGAGCCTCACGTTGCGTGTAGAGATTACTTAAAAATAAAATCTTTAAAATTTTTTTGATGTTTCCAGTGGTTTTTATTTTGGTTTTGATGTTTTCCCCCAACATTTTATAATGAAAATAGATTATTTCAGAAAATAGGGGAAAAAAATTTTTTAATGACTTCCCATTGACTGTAATATCAAATTCCAAATTCTTGGTTCTACCATTGAAGATTCCACAGTTAGGGTACATCCTAACTACCTCCCCCACATTTCCCATTATCTCCTCACCATTTTCTCCATATTCCAGCCACAGGAAATTATTTGCCTTTCATACATTGAGCCACACATGTCTATACTTATTTGTACATGCTGTTCCTTCTACAGGTTGTCCTTCCGCACCTTCTCTGGCCAGACATTTCTTACTCTCTTTCTATGTTATTCCTCTTTAAAGATTTCTCTGACTCTTCTAGACATTTAGTGGTTTCCACTTCCATTTTTCAACCACAGTCCATGGCATTCCTTTATATTCATATATGTCAATTACATCCCATTGTGCTGAAAGTAACTTTTTCTGGTTGTCCTTCTGCTAAATAAAAAAATCTCCATACTCATTTTATATCCCTGGTGCTAAGTGCAGTGTCGGGAATATAAGAGATAGTAAATGAATATTTGTTACTGACTAAATTATTCTTAACTTCACTGCTTCTCATTATCTACAATAGCCAAATTATGAAAGCAGCCCAAGTGATATTATCATATCATATATATACACACATATATCTACCCACATATACATATAATGTTATTCAGCCATAAAAAAGAATGAAATCTTGCCATTTGCACCAACATAGATGGAGCTAGAGAGTATAATGCTAAGCAAAATAAGTCAGAGAAAGACAAATACCATATGATTTCACTCGAATGTGGAATTTAAGAAACAAAACAAATGAGCAAATGAAAAAAAAAAAAAAAGAAAGGCAAACCAAGAAACAGACTCTTAACTACAGAGAACAAACTGATGGTTACCAGAGGAGAGGTGGGGGAGGGGATGGGTTAAATAGATGATGGGGATTAAGGAGGGCGCTTGCTGTGATGTGATGAATACTGCATAGAAGTATTGAATCATTATACTGTACACCTAAAACTAACATTACACTGTATGTTAACTATACTGAGATTAAAATCAAAAGCTTAATTTTAAAAAATGAAATAAAAAACTTCACCACTTATCTTACTGAATAAGCACAAATCTATCTAGAATGCATTTGTCTCCTTCCATCTCTTCCTTCCTCTATCTCCTTTTCCTGCAAAAGCAAACAAGAAATAATAATTATTACTCACTGAAGCAAAATCTAAAGCCAGAATAAAAACAGATAAATTGGGCTTCATCATTAAAAACTTTTGTGCACAAAAGATCCTATCAACATAGTGAAAAGACAATGTTTGGAATAGGAGAAAATATTGTAAATCATGTATCTCTAAAGGGTTAATATCTAGAATATATAAAGAACTCCTACAATGCAATAATACAAAAAAAAAAAAAACATTGAAAAATGGGCAAAGGTCTTAGATACTTCTCGAAAGAAGATATACAATGGTCGATAAGCACATGAAAAAATGCTCAACATTCTTAATCATTAAGGAAATGCAAATCAAAACACAGTGAGATACCACCTCACACCCATCAGTATTACTATTGTAAAATAACTAATAAACAAAAATTTAAAAAATAAAGAGTGCTGGTGAGGATATGAAATTGGAACTCTTGTGCACTGTTGGCAGGAATGTAAAATGGTGGGCTGCTATGGA